TTTTTTTGGTGGAATTAACAACTATAGATAAAGTATATTTCTAATTATTTGTTTGGTATTGTGCTTTACGTGATATGACTTTTTGCACAGTGGCTCTGCGATGGCAAATTCCATTTCTCAGTACTCCTTGGCTGTGTTTCTTTATGTCTACATTCAATGGAAAGGTCTGCACAAGGCCACGTGGGACGGTGAGTCAGCAAAAACATACAGAACACGAAACACCATCTCTGACATATTTGCAAATTATAATGCGACATGGTGTGTTTAGAGGTGAGGCCGGTTAAAAAAACTTCAGCCATTTAGACTGGCGTAAACCAGTTTACTAGGTTTATATAGTAGTTCAATCCAGTTGAGACGCACGTGTCTTGCTTAAGATCTAACGGCATGCAATGCTTAAGATAAATATCTAACGGCATGTTCTTCTGGCAAACAGTTTGACGTATCCGGTTTTAAGATTTACCAGAGGTCGATCTATTCTGTAACTTTTTAACACACTATGGAGAAGAGTTCAGTTGGACAGTGCAAAACTTGTGGGGACTTGCAAGACATAATTAATGCCTCAACTAGTTTTCAGCAATTCGGTAGTATTTCTATTACTCGCCTTTTACTTTAAAGTGACAAATGACAAAATTCCAATGTCCGATAGTAACCTAAAGCTCATTTCTTACTCAATTACTGTCTCTCTTGTACACTTTCATCCTCACACACTGTCATTCTATCAGGCTGGTCTCGTGACTGCCTGCAGGAGTGGGGTGCCTTCTTACACCTGGCCTTACCTAGCATGCTAATGCTGTGTGTGGAGTGGTGGACTTATGAGATTGGAGGATTCCTGGCAGGTCTAAAACCAGTGTCTCTCTTTTCACCTATTTGACTATATCAAATCAAATCTCTGTAATCTGGTTTTGAGTCATTTGATGCCTTCCATTACAGGTCTCATCAGCGAGGCTGAGTTAGGGGCCCAGTCTATTGTGTATGAGGTGGCCACTATCGCATACATGGTAAGAAACTGAAGGCTAAAGAGCAAGCGACTTTCGAAAGCTTTCCTATAGTTTTTTTTAGACCGTTTAGGATATAATATCATTTAGCAACTTTATATAATTAACCTGAGTGTTATTTGTGTTAATTAATAGGTTTAGTGCACCTCTTTTTAGTGATCGAGTTGTACTTCCTGTACAAACTGTGTGCCAGTCAAAGGGTTACAGTGAGCGTGTTTTCTATCCACACAAAAATAGAAATTCAATACTTTTCTTTGACATCAGGAGACGGAAAGGTGCAGCGTTTCTGTTTTTCCTACACCACCTATGAAATCATCTTTCTGTTTAGTTAAGCACTGTTATGACAAGTAGAACTATCCTGTTACTTTAAAAAAAATGAAGTTCTACCTAGTGATCAGTGCAGCGTCCACTATGTTTCTTGATTTAAGATTAGGAAAGATTTTCTAGTGGAGAAGAATTCGATAAATTAAAAAGAAAGGCTATTTAATTTGCATCCAGTGTTGTACGGAAATAACTATATACAGTATATATATATATATCTTAATAGGTAAGTTATATAATTCATAACTACCTCCCAAGTGGCCATAATTAGGGGTGTAACCATCAGACGATCTGGAATGATGCATCAATTTAAAAGGCAACAGCTGAAAAGAATCATGGCAACAATCATAAATTGATAGAACTCTGATACTTTAAATAAAATTGTATTGTATCATATCGTATTGTGCTGTATTGTATCATATCATATCGTATTGTTTTGTTTTGTATTGTTTTGTATCGTGGCAGATTCAGTGGTATCGTCAAATTGAATCCTTGCTTAAAGAATCAGAATAGTACCAAATCATGGGGAAGCCTGAGGTTTTATACACCCCTAGGAATCCTGGATTTATAGCCTAAAGCACAACCAGATTTATAGACTGAAGGTCCAAATTAAGATAACAGACTTATTTTTTTACTCACATTACAATGTGCATCTCTGAGAAGGTATTAACACAGTGGCATGGGAAAGCAAAAGTCTCAGTTATTTTAACTCTTTCTCTTTCTCTGAATTCCTTGTTAGTTTCCTCTTGGCTTTGGGGTGGCAGCCAACGTGAGAGTTGGAAATGCTCTTGGAGCAGGAAACACACAACAGGCAAAACTCTCCAGCAAAGTCTCTCTGCTCTGTGGACGTAAGTGGACACAGCATGTACTCCATGAGTTAGCAGCTACAGTGTTCTCTAAAACACTAAAACATAGCCCTGCAATCTTTAATCCCTAATCTTAATCCCTTTAAGAAAACTATTAATGTTGTACTTATTCTCAATAAATCTGATGAGCCTAGTGATTTTGTGCAATAAAATAAAGAACGAAAAAAAACATTCAGTGAGCAGCGCTTCTGCAGTGGTGAGATAGGTCAGAGGAGAATGGCTAGACTGATTTGAGCTGACAGGACGGATACGGTAACTAAAATAACCACTCTTTACAACCATGGTAAGCAGAAAAGCATCTCAGAACACACAACAAGTCGAAACTTGAGGTTCCAATTCTGCCAGTCAAGAACAGGAATCTGAGGCTACAGTGAGAACAGGTTCACAGGAACTGGGCAGTTGTTTAGAAGTTTAGAAAAACATCACCTGGCCTTTTTCCAATCTTCAGCTGCCAAGTTTTGGTTCCCACTGTCACCTCAAATTCCTCAGGAGTACGAGTGTTCCGAGTAAAATGGCCAGTCAGCATGATGTCACTGAGTTACAGTAGTTGTATATGTCATTCATGCATATAGAACTACAATATGTCATTGAACCCACCTCTTTTTTCTTTCTAGTCATGGTCTCGTGTGTGGTTGGTGCTTCATTAACTGGATGCAAAGATGTTATTGCATACATCTTTACCACTGAAACGTAAGGAGACTAAAGTGTCTGGTATTTTATTTTATTTTATGTATTGTAAAACAGAATATAGCATTTATATATACACTGCCCTCCAAAAGTTTGGAAACGCCTGAACAAAATAGGGTTTTTGGGCAATATCAGCATAAATCCTCT